AATCGCATCAAAAAAGGATTTGCAAACCGCATTAATAAAAGTTTCTTACTTCCCTTTAAAAGATTCATTCTAATTTTTGCATTTCCCTCCTAAATTTTAGTTACTCCGTTAATATAGATTGGGGATAGCATCAATTAAGTATGTATGCCATATACGTGTGTTTTCCCCCTTCACATAGAACACAAAAAGTAGATCTCCTTTTTTCATTCTTATTTTTTTTCACGTTTGGTTTGTTTAAGTTGAAATAAGTTGGTGGACTGGAAATATGAAGGAGACGGTGGTGCGAAGATTTGTTCTCGGCGAAGGTAGGGCATTTGTGGCTAATGTTCTCGATGGTTAGTGTCGGAGATGGCATGTACGTAGAGAAAGTAATTTCTTTTCTTCTTCCTTTTTTTCTTTTTTTGATTTATGTTTGGTTTGTTTATGTCACACCCCCGAACCAAGACGGCGGAAACGTCCGGGGGCGGATGACGTCAACGAATACTATCATAAAAATTGAATATGAATGAAACATAGCAACCCAAACGACATACATTGAGAATACGAACTTACATTGTTTACATACTGTATTTGTTCATAAGTTACACAAAAGTGACATAAAAGTAAGAAATTTCAAAATGCAGCAAATCCGGTTCTCAAAGACTTAGTTACCTGCTTAGTGGTTCCCTGAGAATACAAGTCATTTTGAAAAACGTCAACATTGAATGTTGGTGAGTTCATAAGCATATTTGTATGAAAAAGATTTGTAACATCTTTGTTTAGTAATGGTTTGTATATTTCCAGAAAATACGATAATTTCTATTAAAAATGACTTGTAGTTTTTGTACCAAAAACTAAGAATATACCTTTGTTTCTTTTCCTTGTAATTGTAAAATGTACGATTCCAGAACATCCAATATTTTCTGTTGTATGAAATCTGTAGTCTTAAACCTAAGACCCGAAATGTATGCAATAGTGTACTGAAGGGTAGTATGCATTTTTATATTTTAAAAAAACCAGTGAAGCGTAAGCTTCCCGTAAACCAAGATAGTATTGTTAATCCCTAAGTGAGTTATTATAACCATGCTTGATATGACTGTTATGCCTGTACGATGTTCTTCAGGCGTCGGAATCGGTAAGATATTTGTCACCATAGACTGGCCCGTCTAGCTGTAACGAACAACTCAAGTGTGGGGTTGTCAATTCCTGTATAGATCTATACACAACTATCTCGCTCTCCCTCCCCGAGACTCTGGTTATAATGCAGGACTTAATGTGTACACTAGGTAGCTACGGTGAAGTGAATGTCTCACTAGAGCATTAACAGATTTACGTGAACTACGACTCCCTTTTATTGTATAATGAAATGATTTCACTATCGAAAATTCATGACATGTGTTTTATGACATGCGTTTTACGAGTTTCATGATATGTGGTTTACGACACACGTTACATAAGTTTCATGACATATGTTTTATGACTTGTGTTTTATGACACGCGAACTATGTTGTCAACAATTTGTTTTGTATACTCTTTTGTGTAAACTATTTACAAAACTCTATCTAAATATTCAATAGTAATTATGCCTAGTAGTAATATATGTTGTAAAAATAACATAATATTCTTGGGTTTAAACCCACCAAAAACAGTGACGACTAAAATTTCGACCATTTTTACTAAAAAGTTTACTTTTAGTAAAAATCTCCAAGAATTATGTAGTTTTGTAAATTCTCGTATTTGACCGATTGAAACTTATTGTTCAAAATAGCTTACTTTTGTAACTTTTACCATACTAGTCACGATTTTTAGAAAGAATCAATTGGTACTTTCAACATTTTTATACCAATACTTGCACTAATTTTTAATTTGAAAAGTGAGACATGAAGGTATCCAAAAGACAACACATTTTTTTGACATAAGTTTTTGGTGTATCCTTGAGTGTGAGTGTGTGTGTACCTTAATCATGATTTTTAGTAAGCAATGAGATATTAACCACATAGATTTCGATTTTTATGTTATAAGCAAACATTATTTACTTTTTATACAAGTACTGTTCCATATTCAACAAATAGACATAGTGCATGTAAATGTCCAAAGGACAAACATATTATGGACTCATAACACCTTGCGAATCATGATTTTTAGGTGTAAATATATGAAGATTTCACCAATTCAAGCACATATTAATCCTTAAACAAGTTGATGCATGCAATTATCCATTGGGTAAACGGGTTTTGACTTGTATCCCCCCCCCCTAAAAGCATGAAAAACACAAAAAGTTGGGGGGTATGAAGCTCACCTTGGTTGTTTTCGTGAGTTGTAGGAAGGTAGATGGAGAAAATGTCGAGCCTAGGATGAAGGTGATGAACTTTGAAGAGCTTCTTGGATGCTAGTATCCTAGTGGGTTTAACACATGAAGATTTGTGTGTAAACAAGATGAATTTGACAACAAAATGTATGAAAATACTTGAGGTTCATGAAGAAACTTACCGAAGCTACTAGAGCCGACCTTGAGGTGGTGATGCTCGAAAAGATGACTTTGTCTTGGGAAAAAAGGGAAGTGAGTGAGCAAAAGAAATCAAGTGGCAAGAGTGGGATGCCCACTCTCGGCCGTAATATATATGGAGGAGGGGTGAGCTCTTTTGTCTTTGCATGATGGTTATTTAAGGGGCTTGTATGGATACTTGATGTGTATTCTCATGTATGGTGTGGGTGCATGGTGAGTATTTGCATGTATTGTGTGGGTGTTTGATGGATAAAGCCATGAAAAGTAGTGAGGTGTCAAAGTGGTGGTCATTTCCTTAGGTTATGCATTTAAAACTTATTTCTTTAATGCAAGGGAGGGGTTTTCGGTTTTAAGGTGGCCGAAAACACCCTTCCTTAGGGTTTTCGGTCTTGAAGATGTGGGTTCTCGGTTCTAAGATGGCCCAATAAGGAGGGTCTTCGGTCAAGGGTTGTTTGGTTCGAAAATCTTAAGGTCAAGATCCATTTCCGATTTATGTATGATGCATTTGATCAAATTTTAGTCTTCTAAATGTTTATTATGTATATGCACGTATATAACTTCATATAGCATTGTCATTTTAAATCTCAATAATCTAATGCAACAAGGTTACATAGAGGAATTGTTTGTTCATGAATCACAATCTCAACCCTAAATTTGCTAGTTGTGACAGTTTAAGGATGAATAAGGGTGATGGATTGAAATATTTAGGAGATGGTGGTGCGTGGCTGGTTCTTCGCAAAGGCAACGACTCTATTGAAGGTGTTCTCAGTGATTAATGGTGGAGATGGAAGGTGGCATAAGGGTGGTCCGAGGTGGCGATATGTTTAACTAGAGGTGAAGCAAACTCATGAAGATCTAGGAATTGTTTACAAGAAGTGAAAGATGGTAAACGGTGTAAAAACGATGGTAACAGGGGATGTGTGGTGTTCTTCGTGGTTGTAATGGTGGTTTCTGGCTAAGGTAGGATAGATGGCAATGGTGTTTGCTGGTGGTTTATGCTCGGTTGTGAAGGTGGTTGATGTAGAGAGGCTTGATGGTGGTTAATGGCAGAAAAAGTGGTGATGCTTAGTGATTGTATTCTCGGCAACAAACAGGCGGCAGAGATGACCGTGGCTTAAGTGTGGTTTCTGGTGGGATTGGTTTTTTTTTTGGTGCTATTTGCTTATTTGGAGCGGTTTTCATCAATTTATGGTGCGGTTTGCATTGTTACCGGTTTATTTGTTGTTGCGGTTTTGGCTATTTTTTGAGGCGGTTTGAAAATCGCCTCATTAAATAAGTGTATTTTTTGAGGCGATATTTTTTGGTGCGGTTCAATATCAGAATCTATTAATCATTTTGACCGCATTAAAAAAATAAATAAATAAATAAATAAATAATTTTGTAAAATGTCATACCAAATAGCATAGGTCCAAGACAAATAAATTTAAATACCATGGGTCCAGGTAATATATTACTCGCAAACTATAAATAAATAAACCTCGCGTTGCATGCATCAACAGTTAAAACTTTGTCTTCTAGCCAATCCCACCTTAACCTACCCTTGTTGACCGTGAGCGAAGGCGTTTGAGGTTTGATGCATATCTACATGATTAATTATGTTTTAATAAATGAGGCTCACTCATCTTGGGAATCAAACACCGAAGCGAGTCGCTTGAGATGGCTTCTCTTCCCATCTTGATCACTGTGCTAGAACAGTCCCAGGTTTCGCCCCCTCCATCCACCAAAGCTCAGACGTGGCTGCCCTTGTCATTTTTCGACCTGGCATGGCTGCACGTCCATCCCTTTCACCATCTTTTCTTCTATGAGTTACCACAGCTCTCTAAAACTCAGTTTATTGAAACAATTGTTCCCACTCTAAAAACCTCGTTATCTAAAACACTTCTCCATTTTTCTCCTTTTGCTGGTAAATTGATCATAGATCCTACAGGTACTAGAAATCCCCAAATTCGTTATATAGAAGGCGACACTGTCTCAGTCACGATTGCAGAGAGTAATCTTGATTTCAACGATCTAGTGGGAAATCATCCTAGAGCCTGTGATAAGTTTTATCCCCTTATACCTCTCCTTGGAAAAGCTGAAAAAGTAATCGATTATGTTACAATCCCATTATTCTCCATTCAGGTGACGTTTTTCCCTAATAGTGGTTTCTCTATTGGAACAACCAATCACCATGGACTTGGAGATGCAAGCACTCGGTTTCGTTTTCTGGAGGCATGGACTTCGATTGCAAGATCTGGTTCAGATGAGTTATTTATCGCTAATGGAAGTTTGCCATTCTATGATAGAGTAATCAATCATCCAGACTTAGATGAAATATATCTAAAGAGAGCAAAACTCGATACTTTTGATGAAAAGTATCAGACTCGACGCCTTTCTGGACCGAATGATAATGTCCGGACAACGTTGGTGTTGACCAGACCCATCATCAATCAAATGAAGAAATGGGTATCAACCCAACTGCCCACGTTACAACATGTCTCATCTTTTACAGTCGCATGTGCTTATTTCTGGAGTTGCTTTGCAAAATTACGCAGTGATGAGCTACAAGTTTTTGGCTTTGCCGTAGATTGTAGGGCACGTCTGGAACCAGCGATTCCTGCTAATTACTTTGGTAACTGTATAGCACCATGTGGGGCGATGGCAAAAACAAATATATTAACTGAAAAAGAAGGATTTGTGACTGCTGCCAAATTACTGGGAGAGAGTTTATATAAGATGTTGAATGATGAAGATGGAATCATGAAAGATGCCAAGACTTGGTTCAACTTTTCCTTCGAAGGGATGCCAACATTCATAACTGTTACTGGAACACCAAAGCATAAATTTTATGATACTGATTTTGGATGGGGAAAGCCCAAAAAGTATGAAACAGTTTCTATCGATTATAGTGTGGCGATTTCGTTGAACGCTAGCAAAGACTCCAATGAAGATCTGGAGATTGGCGTGAGCCTTTCGCGTACTGAGATGGAGGTGTTTATTCCAATATTTAATGAGGGATTAGAAAATTACATTTAGTATCATCAAATTTATTTTCTTTCTTTTCCTTTTATTTATTGAATAAGGTGAAGTAATATATTCTTTGCTGCGTGTTTTTCTTACTTTTCTCTTTTCTCTTTTCTCTTTGTTCATTTCTTTGTACTTTTTAAGTTTTAATCAATCTTAATTCTCTTTTTTCTAAAGAGTGAAGTAAAATAATATTTGTTCCTAATTCTTTAGTCGTTCAGATAAAACCTTTCATTTCAGCTTTTTTTTTTTTTTCTCGGTTGACCCTACGTCTACTACCTTGAACCCTAGCTCTTGCTACTATTTAAATGAAACATTCAACTGTGTTGGTCGAAGTTTTTGTCGTCTATTTTGGTTGTGTTTGACAGACTAGTTCAAAAACTAGTTATAGCTTAAAAGTAGGTGGTAATTTTGGTTATGTTTGACAGACTAGTTCAAAAGCTAGTTATAGCTAAAAAGTAGCTGGTAGTTGAAAAACTAGTTGTTAATTTATAACCTACCTGATAAAAAATGACGTTTGATAAAACTATCTGATAAGGTAGCTGAAATATATAAAATAACATAAAATAATATTTAGAAAAATATTTTTCTATAATTAAGTAAAGGTATATTCGGGAAATTTTAATAAAGTTACTAATAAGCTACTCAAAGTAGCTTTCGAAAAATACGCCAAACACAACCTTTGTCTTTGGGCCAATCATATTTTCTATGTGCATCCATTTTCTTGGACATTGAAATAAAATTATAAATGTAATGACATTTTTATAAATAAATTAAAAAAAAAAACAACATAGTGTTAAAATCGAAATTTTCAGTAAACTTAATGACTATTGCAATTCGGGTAAATTGGTTAGTGGGAGAACAAGGAGAACCAGTCACTTAATTGATATTGTAACAAAATTGTAAAAGTTAACTGTTTTTTATTATTTCAAATGTGTTTATCTAGGTTTAACCCATTATATAATAGGTTGGGTTGAAAAATACTTAAATAGATCAACCCAATAACAACTCGTTTATCTGAAAAGTTTGGTTGGGTTCGAATATCAACCTATTTAAATAAACAAGTTGTGTTAGATTTAAATCTTCAACCTAATTAATAAATTGGTTGAACTCGAAGGCAACCCAAGTCAACCCATTATCGACTCTAATATGTTGGTGGGACTTGCTTTGACCTTTTTGAATCATTTGAATTTATCATAGAATATGTCACAACGAATTCAAACAGGATGTCAACTACAAACCCTTATTGATCCATCAAAATATGATGGGAGCAAAGATCTATGTGGAGTTCCATTGCAAAAAAGTTGCTCACATCAGGAAGACACAACAATAAGCAATAAGACATGGAGTTATTGAGCCCACGAAGGTATGTTTTACGTGGACATTGTGAGTGATTTTGCAAAATGGTTTTGGAGTGTTGTTGGCATTTTGTTGTTCAAGAAGTAATGGATATGGAATACTTTCATGTTCATTGAGGAAATCCTAGATTAGATATATGTACCCGTCTTGATAACAGTTCCCAAGATGAAGAGAGAAAGAGAAGCTACATAGATCCTTGAGAATGCAAGTAATTCGTGAATGTATATTATCAATGATTATTTTCCTTTTTAATACTACTATTGTGCCTAATAATATTATTTTCTAGATTTGTAATATGGGTGTTGTTTTAATGTTTCAATTTTGAGGGTTTTGTTGGATTTGGTATTTTATAGTAGGTCGTGTTGTTAGATTAGATTAATATTGGCAAAGTCCACAGGTGGGTGGGATGGATTTCAACTTGAAATACCCATTTACTCTTCATACTAGGTCAAAGGAAAATTGAAAAGACCAACGACTTGTCTAAAAGAATCAAAGATTCATGAACTCAGCTTGATCTTACAAACGCTTTTTGGAAAGAGGGGGACAAACGCTTTTTTGAACCTTTGATAGACAAACCAATAACACTCACATGATCATCTTACACTGAAATACATACTCTTTCATAGTATTTCAAACTCTTTCAAAAATGAATGAAAAGGATACATAACCCACATTTGTTACCTTGCAAGTAGAACTTAGAGAACAAACCAAATCATCAAATCTTATCATCGAACTCCTTCAAACCACCAATCCATAATAGAAATATTAATAAAAGCAATGTCCATAAAAGAATTACACATTGCAATTCATTCCATTACTCCAACTATCAAAATACATAACAAGAAGTTATATCATACTCATTAATGCTCAAAATTTATATTATTTCAAATGTTCTTATTATCCCAAATGTGGGACCTCTTACATTTCAAGCTTAAAAACATCAAATCACATTGATCCATCCACAAACACATGGACACAACTCCAGTTCTTGATCAGAAAGATGATGTATTCTATAATTTGTATAAATTTGAACTTATTTCAGTGCAATGGTTTAAAAGTTTAACTTTTCCCACCACTAGGCACTGTTAATAGTGATATTCTGCTAAATCCAAGCAAGCTTCTGCTATTGACTTATCTTGATCAAGTATGTGAGTATCACTTGAAGAATTCTTCTGTAAATCATGTATGATTTTTCTTAAAAAAAACTTACACTAATATAAGTAGAAATTTTTTTTTCAAATAAATTTAGTTACCTTTGTATCGAATCCTCTGATGAAACCAACTAGTGTCACTTTCATTGGCTCATCATAGATTTGCTCATTGCTTCCATTCATAAAACAAGCTTCCTGAAATCAAAGCTACATGTTCTTAAACATGTTTATCTTCATTTATAGTCGCATTTTATTTTATATATGCAATTGTTTGAAATCTCACAATGGTTTTTCCAAAAGAGCCAGAAGTATAGTCCCATTTTATGCTAACTATAATCTTCAATCTCTGTTGTGAGTCAACTTCAACCCACCCAAAATACACACCCCATGCTTGACTAGGAAGATCAGAAGCTCCATTAACTGAATAAACCAACAAAAGACATGAATAAATCAACAAACATTGCTCAAATTGTCTACACCAATATTCCAAATTTCTTTAAGGAAGTTTTAAGAGAGATTCAATATAAACAAAAGGAAATGAAAGTATATTTTAAAGAGTAAATTACACGAATGGTCCTTATGGTTTGGGGTAATTTGCGCGTTTGGTCCCTAACTTTTTTAACTCGGAAGGTCCCTACTATTTGTTTTTGTTACGCACTTGGTCCCTATTGTTTGCTTTTGTTACGTGGTTGGTCCCAGTCTTACTTAAAAAGATTTATTTAAAAAGGAAAAAATGATGAGGTGGGTAAGATAAGGTGAGGGGGTGGGGTTGGAGGTGTGTTTATTTAAATAAATTAAAAAATTTAGGGAAAAATAGTCTTTTTAGGTAAGACAGGGACCAAACGCGTAACAAAAACAAACAGTAGGGACCTTCCGAGTTAAAAAAAATAAGTTAGAGACCAAACGCGCAAATTACCCTAAACCATAGGGACCATTCGTGTAATTTACTCTATTTTAAACAATGTAAACCTGAAAGTTCTTGAAAAAATCCATTTTTGTATGAAGCCTTGAAACAAATTGGTTCAATTGGTAATGCATTCATCACCCCTGAAAAAGATAAACTATTATTGCAAACTATATATATATATATA